GAGGTGGTGGTGAACAACATTCTGGGTGAGGTTGGAAAGATTTGGGGTCTTGAGACGGACAGGTGGTGGCCAGGAGCCTGGAAAAAGGCGTGGAGAAATGTCAGGTCCCATAGCTGCTGTCTGTCAGTCTCTGGGGCGTGGCTTCTCTTTCTGTCCTTTCATGTCCCCTAGATTTTTGTAAGATCAGATTTTTGAAAAATGGCTGAATGCATGGGATAAATGTTTAATCGTTTCTTAGCCTGAGTGGGGTGTTTAGGTGAAGGTCGGATTTGCTGAGATACATTATAAAGATGATAATAATAGTAAAATATGACTGGTTCTGTTTATGTTTTTCCCGGCAAAAAAAAAGCCATTTACTGTTTTCTATGCTAAAGTAAGCTATTTTTGTTTAATTATACATATTTTATTTATTCGCTATATATGTAAATATGTTTTTTTTAGTATGCTGTTTGTTTGTAAGATTTTTAATAAACAAAAATTTACACATATATGCCCAAGGAAACTTATTTTTACAAATTCAACTTTATTACATAGACATGCTTGTAAAAATACATACCGTATTTTTCGCACCATAAGACGCACTTTTTTCCCCCAAAAAAAGGGGGGAAAATGTCAGTGCGTCTTATGGAGCGAATATGGAGCGGCCGGTCCAGTATTTCCACTGCCGCCGTGTCAGAATACCGGGCCGGCCGCTCAGCTCTACAGCGGGACCTTATAGAGATGACTGCTGACCTTTGGGGGAGGGGGGGGAGCGGGTACCTGAATTTGACAGATACCCGCTCCCACTTCCGTGGAGTTGTTCTTTCATCTTACCCGTTCCTCTATCCAGCGGCGCGGTCTTCCCGGCTTCTGTAGTGTGGGCATGACAGCCGGGTGCCAAGTGCGCATGCGCAGGAAGTGGTGCTTTTTGTGAATGGTAAGGCGGCACCTGGGACACATGACAGATCCCAGAACCCGCCGGACCAATCACAAAGCGCAAGTGCTTCTCGCTCATGCGCACTGGGCACCCGGCTGTCATGCCGAGCGCCATTACAGAAGCCGGGAAGACAGCGCGCGGCTGGATAGAGGAACAGGTAAGATGAAATAACAACTCCGCGGAAGTGGGAGCGGGTATCTGTCAAATTCAGGTACCCGCTCCCCCCCTCCCCAAAGGTCAGCAGTCATCCCCTGTACTATCCACAGTCTCTGGTCATCCCTGTGCTGTCCGCAGTCTCTGATCATCCCTGTGCTGTCCGCAGTCTCTGGTCATCCCCTGTACTGTCCGCAGTCTCTGGTCATCCCTGTACTGTCCGCAGTCTCTGGTCATCCCTGTACTGTGTCCGCAGTCTCTGGTCATCCCTGTACTGTGTCCGCAGTCTCTGGTCATCCCTGTACTGTGTCCGCAGTCTCTGGTCATCTCTGTCCTGTGTCCTCAGTCTCTGGTCATCCCTGTACTGTGTCCGCAGTCTCTGGTCATCTCCTGTACTGTGTCTGCAGTCTCTGGCCATCTCCTGTACTGTGTCCGCAGTCTCTGGTCATCTCCTGTACTATGTCCGCAGTCTCTGGTCATCCCTGTACTGTGTCCGCAGTCTCTGGTCATCCCCTGCACTGTGTCCGCAGTCTCTGGTCATCTCCTGCACTGTGTCCGCAGTCTCTGGTCATCTCCTGTACTGTGTCCGCAGTCTCTGGTCATCTCCTGTACTGTGTCCGCAGTCTCTGGTCATCTCCTGTACTGTGGCCGCAGTCTCTGGTCATCCCCTGAACTGTGTCCACAGTCTCTGGTCATCTCCTGTACTGTGTCCGCAGTCTCTGGTCATCTCCTGTACTATGTCTGCAGTCCATTAGTTCAGAATTTTTTTTTCCTGTTTTCTGCCTCTAAAACCTAGGTGCGTCTTATGGTCAGGTGCGTCTTATGGAGCGAAAAATACGGTAATTAAAAAAGGGCATTCGCTCTGCAAAAATATTGAAGCTTTCTTCACAAAGTGAAATATATAATATGTATATATCAACAATTAGTCAATGGCAATTATATTATTACCATGATAGTACTTACAAAAAGTAAGTATTAGTCAGAGCAATTGTAAAATAATAGCATCCAAGATGAATCCACATGAACCGGAGCCCCAATGGTGTGGACACTTGAGAAGAACAAGAGTGGTCAGATGTCAAACCCATGGAACCAGCAGCAACCAGGAAACACCAGATCACCCTCTACGCCTTCTACGAACATCCCAAAAAACAAAATGAATTATATACAAGGCTTATCTTCTCATAGACCTGAAGGATGATACTCAAAATAATCTAAAGAAAGCAAGACTAACCATGTTGAAGCATGGCCAGTACATGTGATGAATTGAAATGTTTCTGCAATAAATGGTGAAGATATCATTAATCTCATAGGGCCACAACTCAAGGCAAATGATTACAAGATTGATATGCTATTTTTCTTCAATGATAAGAATCTCACAAATCCCATAGACCAAAAGTCCAAGATCGTTATTTTAACTATAATAAAAATACAAAAATGTGTAAATATATATACTGGCGCAGGCTACCTTCAATAATGTTGAAAGTATCATTAATATAATTATCCACAATAATTACTGGAATATAAGAATATTTAAGTACCGCTGCCTCAAATTGATTAGAGTATAAAGATATAAAAAATCTCCCGGGGCTAAAACTATATCCAAGTAAAGTATCTATAATAAACATCACACCAAATGGTGAGATTAATGACAACTTAACATGATAATAACTATTGATCTCCCACAAAGGGACAAAAATCATTGCTCACCAAGCCATCAAGATAACATAGGGAACCACTCTAAAGACAGGAACACCAAACCACTGATAGATAGAGTATAGGTTTTTTAGTCTATAGCAGTGATGGCGAACCTTTTTGAGCCCGAGTGCCCAAAACTGCAACACAAAACCAACTTTTTTATTTCAAAGTGCCAACACTGTGATTGGCCTTTTACCTTATCACGTGATTAGCTGTATCCGTAGGACACAGCGATCACCGGCAGCGCAGGGTGTGTGCCACTGGGTTCGCGTTCTGGGACGCCCTCCCAGAACTAGACAACCACGCTGTAGCCATCTTTTGGCTATAGCATGGTTGGCAAGCAGTTAATCTCACCTCTGGCAGTGTCGGTGTGGCTTCCAACCCAGCAGCTCATTCCCATCCACGCTGAACACGTTGCCCCTGGCCCCGGAGCAGTGTGGGAGCCTCTTCCTCTCTTCCACGCCCATCCCCGGCTACATTACCCCTGGTGCCAGATCTGCATAGGAGCCGTTTCCTCTCATCCACACCCACCCTGGCCCCAGAGACATGTGGGAGATGTAGTTTGATGGGGGTCCAGTGTGGACGAGATCTGGATGGCCGGTCAGTGTGCGTGGTCCGTGTGCGCTCATCTTCCTCTTCTTCCTGGCGTGCCCACTGAGATGGCTCTGCGTGCCAGCTCTGGCACGCGTGCCATAGGTTCACCATCACTGATCTATAGGAAAGGTAAAATCAAGCCATAAACAAATTGACAAAATTTCTTTCATAATGATAGCTGCTTATCTTCACTGAAATTAGAAGAATAAATGCTCACCAAACCATGAGGGTCATATGGAAAACCACCTTCAAGACAGGAATCCAAGAACCAACTGCACTATTGCATCCAATAAATAGGGTTCAATGTGAAATAATTATCCCATCAAAGGCTGATCTAATGCACCTGTGCCACCAGTCCAAATAAAGGATGGCTAAAAACCACCAATGAAGCCAAGATGGTGTCTCCATGTGGCCACCCCAGCGTTCGTGAGGGAGAACATCTACCCCTGGCATCCTCTACCGACACCTGTTGGTTCCTGGTTGCTGCTGGTTCCATTGGTTTGACATCTGACCACTCTTGTTCTTTTCGAGGGTCCACACTGTTGGGGCTCCAGTTCATGTGGGTTCATCCTGGATGCTATTATCTTACAATTGCTCTGACTAATACTTACTTTTTGTAAGTACTATCATGGTAATGATATAAATGCCATTGACTAATTGTTGATATATATTTTTTATGATTTATCTATATGTGTCCATTAAAAATGTCTTCTGTATCTATGTTCCCTGAAGAAGATCAAAAATGTGAAATGATCGAAACGCATCAGTGTAATTCTTTCCCTTTCTTGGGTGTCTTTTCACTTTGTGAAGAAAGCTTCAATATTTGTCAGAGCGAGTGCCCTTTTTTAATAGAAAATATGTATTTTTACAAGCCTGTCTATGTAATAACGTTCTGAATTTCTTTTTTAAGTTTTCTTGGGTGTATACGTGTAATGTTCCAGTTTGCTGCAATAAAGTCCCATAAGGGGTTTTTTCTTCTATGTATCCATTCAGAGACGAGTAGTCAGATACATGACCTTTCTAGTAATATATATGCCATAGTTTATAGTTTGTATAACTTTCACACAAACCATTAATATACATGTATTGGGATTTATTTTTTTAACCAATGGATATGTAGCAGAATACATTTTGGCCTAAATTTATGACTAACTTTGAGTTTATTGGATATTTTTTATAATGAAAATTTTAAGGTTTTTTTTATTTAGAGCAGAAAAAGTAAAAACTGCATAGGTGATCAAATACCACCAAAAGAAAGCTCTATTTGTGTGAAAAAAGGACATAAATTTTGTTTGGGTGCAGCACTGCACGACCACGCTATTACCAGTTGAAATAGCGCAGTGCCGAACAGCAAAAAATGGCCTGGTCATGAAGGGGGATAAATCTTCTGGAGAGCAAGTAGCTAAAGGTGACTATAGTAGCAAAACGTACATGCTGTATATTCTAGTTTTTTCCCTGCAATTGATTAGAACATCATTAACCACCTCCCACCCGGCATATAGTCCAATGACAGATGCAAGGCGGTTCTTTTATTCTGGGAGGACATCATATGACGTCCTCCCATTCTCACTGTGAATGCGCAGCTCCAAAATCACGCAGCGCAGCGATCGGCGGTGCGCTGTGTCCCTCGGACACAGCGGATCACCGATCCACAGAAAGAGCCCAAGATGTCAGCTCGGTCATGTGATCAGTTGTGTACAATCACAGCTGATCGCATGCAAACAGGGAAATGCCAGTTATCAGCATTTCTCTCCTCACGAGCTGTCACGCTGACAGCTCGAGAGGAGAAGAGAGCCGGTAATCGGCATTCCTCAGAGGTGACATGTGCACTGATCATCAGGGCACTGATGATCAGTGTGCCCTGATGATCAGTGTAGCCCCAGCAGTGCCACCTGTCAGTGTCCATCAGTGCCAGCTGTCAATGTTCATCCATGCCACCTGCCAGTGCCACATCAATGCCACATATCAGTGCCTACCAATGCACATCAATGCCACATATCAGTGCCCATCTGAGCTGCCTTTCAGAGTCACCCATCAGTGCCAGTCAGTGCCACCTATCAATGCCAATCAGTGCCACCTATCAGTGCTGCCAATCAGTGCCACCTATCAGTGCCAGTCAGTGCTGCCTATCAGTGCCAGTCAGTGCCTCCTATCAGTGTGCATCAGTGCCGCCTATCAGTTCCCATCAGTGCTGCCTATCAGTGCTGCCTAACAGTGCCAGTCAATGCCACATAACAGTGCCAGTCAGTGCCACCTATCAGTGCCAGTCAGTGCCACCTATCAGTGCCACCTATCAGTGCCTCCTCATCAGTGCCCATCAGTGCCACCTATCAGTGTTCATTAGTGCAGCCTATCAGTGCCCATCACTGCATCCTCATTAGCGCACATCAGTGAAGGAGAAAAATCACAAACAAAAACTAAGAAAAAACTTTTTTTAAAAAAAATTTCAGTGGTTTTTGGTTTGTTTAAAAAAAATTAAAAAACTCAGTGGTGATTAAATGCCACCAAAATAAAGCTCTATCTGTCACAAAAAAAATTATAAAAATTTCATATGGGTACAGTGTTGCATGACCGCGCAATTGTATTTCAAAGTGTGACAGTGCTGAAAGCTGGAAATTGGCCTGGGCAGGAAGGGGGTATAAATGCCATGTTGGCTAGTGGTTAATGAGCAGTGCAGTGGTAAACAAAAAATTTGAAGTATATTGAAAGTGCTCATTGTTAGAGCTGAGAGAATAACAAAAGGTGTTCTACTGGTAATTCTTTTTACAACTAAAATGGGTTTCAAAAAAATTATAGAAAAAATGTTTGCTTGGTTAAGTTAAACCTTATTTTTACCTGAACACACACAGAAGAAATTGGTTATAGAGTAGACTATGACTACAGTGTACTTATTTATCTAAAAAGTGTCAGAAATGCGTAAACCCAACAAGAAGGTTGACAAGTAGGCAGAATAAACTTTGTTCCATTTTCCTTGGGAGTTGAGAAACACTTTTTACTGCAGCACTGTATAACACTTCCAATGCTCCAAACTGCATACAGGCTTAGATATCTATGGAATTGCACCACGGGGATAACAATCTTGGCTTATAGCCTTTTAGAGAGAAAAAACAGTTACAGATGGATAGGAAAATCTGGAGCTGAAACCCAGAGAATTGATATAAAAATAGGTAATGTGACCTAGCACACCTCAGCACTGGATATGTTCTGCATTAACAGAGCTTTGGCAGTGTAACTTTGTAACAGTTGTGCATAGTTACTTTAAATGATCCCTTCAGCTGGCTGTTTCAGTGATCATACAAGCAAGAGTCACTTTGATTCCTTTTCGAAAGTTGCCAGTAGGTCAAGTGGGCTGCATGTGGGAGCTTGCACAGTGATTGAATAAGGACAGAGAAGGAAGTACACTTAAAAATAATTAGGATGTTTAAGTGAGTCCTCTTGGATGTTTAGCCTGGCTAGTTGAGACTGAAGTAAAAAAAAAAAGTATGTCCTTTGCTAATGATAATTGGGATTCTTTGTAAAATTCACATTGGAAATGCCCAACATGTCTAAATACTTCCCCAGCTCGAACATCCTTTTCTTCAGTCCTCCACCAACTCTCCCAGATTCTCCCCTTTTTGGTATGCCACCATAGGAAGCTGCTTCCTATGGTGGCACACCTGCTTGCTCGATCCCATTAACACAGACAGCAAAGCTTGGCTCCCTCATCACAAGATTTAACTGACAACCAAGGGAACTTATGGCTCTCACTGCTCTCAGCAAAACCTTGAGAGTGGGAAGAAGAGGAGAGAGAGCTGCTGCAGATGGGCACATTACTGGATCCTGTGAGGTAAGTATTGGGGAGATAAGGGGGCAATACTTTACCCTAAACATTTTTTACCTTAATGCAAGGGAGTGTGTTAAGATAAAATATGATTAAGCTTTAGAACCATTTTAACTTCTGAAAATGCGGCAAACGAGCAGAATTAGTGAATTAGTGATTTTCTTTAACTGACTAGTATACGCTGAGTGAGATTTACTAAAACTGGAGCACTTTGGTGCAGTTTCTAATTTCAGTTTGATTAATTAAAGCTTTGGCAAATAAATCTGGAAATTAGTTGGTTTCTATGCAGAGCTGCACCAGATTTTGCACCATGCATTTTAGTAAATAACCTCCACTGTATATATGTACAAAAAGCATGTTAAGAACCATAAGACTGTTGAAGCCTGGATTCCTGAAATATGTGATTTTGTTCCTGATCAATAAGAGCTTTAAAGTCATTCTCATGCAAATTTTATTTTATGCTAAATATCCCCTCACTCCTCTAGAGGATTTTCTTTATTATTTTTTTACCTACCTAGCTTCTGTAGGGCACATCATCTGCTTTGAAGTTTCAGTGATGTAATTCACTGGCTTCAGGATCTTCCTAATTCATGCAGTAGACACATGTATGCACCCTGCATACTAGGGGGTGTTCTACCGGTCACCCAACACACAGATAGGAAGTTGTGATGACTAGTCACTTCAATAGTAAATGCTGCCACAGAAACAGCTATCAGGCAGCATTTTCTGATGAGTTGGGGCAGGGGCAGACTGACAACTCATGGGGCCCCCTGGCAATAGGGGATCATGGGGCCCCTGTGTCCTTGCCCAAACTCAAAAAAGCCTATAAAAAAAGGTACCAGGGGCATTTCATGGGGCCCCCTACTGACCCTGGGCCCTCGGGCAGTGCTCGAGAGCTCGAATGGTCAGTCCGCCCCAGAGATGGGGTAGTAAGAAACATAATCAACCCAAAGTAATAGTGCTATAGTACACCCCACTAGCTTCATTTAAAAACAGTAAATGGGCCCAGAGAAGAGCTATAAGGTGAAGCAAAGCTTGCACAGACTAATATTGCAGGGTCCAGCCCTCTATCTGGTCTTTATTCCTTCCTGTTTCTAGTTCATATGGTCTTTTGAAAGCTGGTTCAACCTACTTTTAATTTATTCTACACAGTCATTTAAAGTGACAACTATAAGACAGCTGCATTAATCACTTCAAGTCCTGACTGTTTCACCCCCTTCCAGTCCAAGCCATTTTTCAGATTTCAGTGCTGTCACACTTCGAATGACAATTACTCAGACATGCAACATGGTACGCAAATTCATTTTATATCATTTTTTGAGACAGATGGAGCTTTCTTTTAGGGGTATTTAATCACCACTGTTTTTTTTCTATATAAAGAGAAAAAGGCTGAAAAAAAATGTTTCGTTTCTGTTACAAAAGTTTGCAAATAAATACTCTTTCTTTGTAAATTTAGGTCAAAATGTATTCTGTTATATTTCTTTAATAAAAAAAAAAATAATTTAAATTATTTAGTCTGCATGAAATTATAGAGCAATATTATATATATTTAAAAATTGATCAGTCCTTATGTTCTGACTAACTATCTCTATTCTTGAGGCCCTAATATATAAGGTCAGTACAAATATCCCAAAAATGACCCCTTTTTGGAAGGTAGGCAGTCCGAGGTATTTAGTAAGAGGCATACTGAGTTTTTTAAATTGTAATTCTTTGAAAAATTATGAAACTAGAATAATTTGTTTCACAAAGTTATTATGTTAAAACATTAAAATTTACACACAGCACAAGCATACTTACAATTACACCCCAAAACACATTCTGACACCCTCCTAGTATTTTTTCACAGCCTAGCTACAAAAAGAAGCCCAAAATCCAAAAATAAAAAAGACAAGGCAGGGGGAAGTGAAATATAAGTGCAGTATAAAATTATAATTTATTACCAAGTGGTCATAAAAAACTCACAAAGAAAAAGAGTAGATAGTCACTTATCATGAACAAAAAGCATCACCATATGCCTTGTCTTGCAGGAACCTGCCAGTGGTTTCCTTTGCTGCAGATGGTAGAATGAGAATCGGGATGCCGGGTAGACACCGGGAAGTCTCCAAGTGCACACATGAGCGGATGTGACATCACAGGAAGGAAGGAGCTCACTGCTCCTTCTACAGGTGGGTTCTTGCAGGACAAGGCATACCGTGGTGCTTTTTATTCATAATGAGCGATTATCTACTCTTTATCTTGTGATATTTTTATGACCATTTGCTAATAAATTATACTTTTATATTGCACTTAGATTACGCTTTCCCCTCACTTGGAAAACTCTGGGGACAGCTTCAATTGGTGCTTATTGTATTTTATGGACTATATTGGACTTTTATGAAATATGGAGACTGTCATTCTATAGTGCAGCAGTAATACTGTCCAGTTTGTTCACCACAATCCTTTCACACATACCAAACTCCAAAAAACACCTTAAGGCTTTCTAGCAGCATAAATTACACATCTAATTTCCTCACTACATATCACATTTTTGGAGGCCCTGGATAGTCAAAACACCTACAAAATGACCACATTTTTAGAAAAGAAAAAACCCTAATGTATTTTCTAAGAGGTATAGTGAGGCCTTTGGAAATGTCATTTTTTTCCCACAAGGTCTTAGAAACTGTGGAACAAAAATTAAGTTGTATTTTTTTACACAAAGTTGCTAAGTTGTTAATTAAGAAGGCATTTCTAATACACAGCATAGGCTTACTTAGACTTATGCCTTTAATACAGATTCAGGTATGCTTCCTCCATGAGTGAGACTTTTTCACAGCCTAGCCACACAGAGAAGCTCAAAATCCAGAAAGCACCTTAAGGCTTTCTAGAGGCATAAATTACACTTCTAATTTGCTGATTACCTATCACATTTTTGGTGGGAACACCCACAAAACAACCACATTTTGGAGAGGAAACACCGCAACATATTTTCTAACTGGCATAGTGCATATTTTGAAAATGTCTTTTTTTTGTCACAATGTTTTGGTAAATGTGGATAGAAAATTAAGTTGTATTTTTTATGCAAAAAATTTGAATTGTATCTCAAAACACATACTGCTATTACTCCTGAACATGACGATACCGCATACACTATATTGCCAAAAGTATTGGGACGCCTGCCTTTCCACACACATGAACTTAGTCTGTAGGGTTCAATATTGAGTTTGCCCACCCTTTGCAGCTATAACAGCTTCAACTCTTCTGGGAAGGCTGTCTACAAGGTTTAGGAGTGTGTCTATGGGAATGTTTGACCATTCTTCCGGAAG